TATTAAACGGTTAGTGAAAGTTGAAAGTTTGGTGAAAGTTGAAAGATGTGAAAGTTGAAAGATTGGTGAAAATTGAAGGCTTGTTTGTGGAAAATTTAGTGATTTTTTGTAATATCTCACATCGCACAGGGGAGTGAATCCTGTAAACCTTATATGTACATGCCCATCTCTTCCTAGCACGAGGCATTTTGGGAGTTCACTGGCTTCGGGTTCCATCGGAACTTCGAAGTTAAGCGAGTTTGGGCCAAAGCATTTCTAGGATGGGTGACCCATTGGGAAGTTCTGCTGGGTGAGTTCCCAAAATCAAAATCGTGAGGGCATGGTCGAGGCCCAAAACGGACAATATCGTGTTACGACGGAGTCGAGCCCGGGATGTGGTGGGGGCCCAAGCGGGGATGTGACATTTTTCAATATTTATTAGAATTTAAACAATTTTAGATTAAAATGTTTATAAAATTAATTTACGATAGTCTACATTTAAAAAAAAATTAGCCTAAATTCATTCTTTAATCATCCCGGGCTAAAATTTTAGGTTAGAATGGTTGCAGCAGAAAAGCTGTTTCTGGGTTAAAAGCTAAATTTTCCGGGCTAAAAAATATGATTGTTAGTTCGAGGGTTGGAGATGGTCTAAACGAGCTGGGTTAAATTGAAATACATTGTGCTCAAGCTTGGCTAGTTAATTTTTTTTTCCTCACCTTAGCTCTGTTTGCCTTCGTTCTTACACGAACCGAGCTCGAGTGAGCTTAAAAGTTTTGAGTTCGATACCAAACTCAAGTTGTTTCAACCTATTTTTTATAATAAGTTGGTAGGATTGTGTAAAACGCTTTGCAATATCATGATACGGTTTAGGCTCAAGACCCGATTACTATATCAAATCTTTTTAATATAGTGTTTCATAGTAATTATTAATCATGATATGTATAATATAATGATATAGTGTTTAGTGTACACTACTATACAATTTAGAGTGTTCAATTTATAGCAATATTTTACTTCTTAAATTTTTTGAAGTAGATACTAACACTGGAAACAATGAATAATCCGATAATTAGACTTTGTTTTTGCTTATTTTGTTGTATGGTTTAGGGTTTTTTTAACTAAGAAAATTGTTATTGCCACTCAAAAAATCTCATTTTGAATTCCAAACTTTCTATAATTAGAAAGAAAAATACATTTATAGGCAAATACCTCATCGGTACGACTAATAACATCGATACAACAACCAAAATCGATACCTTACCGGAGACCAGCACTTGTACTCGGGCCAAGAAAGGCAGAATCCCTTTCCTTGGATTACATTGCAAATTAAAAAGTAGCGGCAGTTTTCAACACTCCAGGTCCCGAAATCCCGAAAATGAAACCAAATCTAGTCCAATCTCAAAATATGAAAATTTCTACTATGCTTCGGTGCACTATATGCCAAGAGGATCCTCGTCAAATCCTCTTTATGAGAATACTCTAGTTACATCCGTTCATCGTACAGTTATAAATTATTATAAATTTTGTTATTTAAAATTAAATATAAATAATATCTAACAAAAACTAACTGTATGATGTACAATAAACATATTTAATTGAAAGATCTTCAAAATCTTCACAAAGAAGATCCAGCAAGGATCCTCTCTCCACCATATGTACCAAGAAATTTGGCCGTTAGATCTTAATTACTAAACCTAGAATCTGACAATAAAAAAATCTCAGGCTGACATTCATACCATGCTAAAATACTGACAGGTTTGTCATCCAAATGATGTTGAGAACCAACCAACAGAGGAAAATCCCAAAAGCAATCCAAAGGAGCCAAAAGGAGAAAGTCAAAAGAGAAAGACACATATTGAAGTCAAACCATCATCATCACATAAAACAAGATGGAGAGAATTGAGAAGAATGGTACATAAACTTAAACCCAGAAGCAGACAAAGCCATTCTCACTCCCAAGTCTTTGGAAGCCTGAAACTAATTTAAGCCAGACAGCTTTCCTAAACCACGATCACTGGTTGCCGGTACTCCAAGCTAATCACATGCTCTTACTAGCTCAAAATACGAACAACGTGACAACCATGTTCTAGGTAAGTTCATCTCTAAAGGTCATAACCATTTCAAAATGCTCAAGGCAATTTAATCCGATCATATAATAAAAAGGATATTAACTAGAGCGAAATAGAAGTCATTTGAACATAAAAACGATCACTAAGTACAGAAACGATATGGGGAATCAGGTGGATGAGTCCCGAAACATTAACCCCTTGTGTTCTTCTTTTCCCTTCCCTAATCCTACAAATGTGGCTATCTTATCATCAGACACAGAGCTTTAGTCAGAAAATGCAGGTCATTCAATATCTTTTAACCAACAACCCTAACACAAATTGCTCCTCCTTCATTCCGATACCTGACTTTCCTGCTCTACTCGTCATCATCTTCTTCCTACAATTAACCCAAAACAACACAATTCAACCCAATTCAATAAACTAATCACGAAACTAAGAAGACACAGTTGATCAACAAAACAACGAGAGCCAATCAGAACAAACCTCTCCACTCTCGTCATCATCTTCATCCTCGTTTTGCACCTCAGACTTGGACTTATCGGACTCTTCATCATCCGCTCCGTTACCTCCCTCAGCCTAATTTCACAATTAAGCAACAACTCTCACAACACTACTCGAATCAATTAAACCGAAAACTCAGGAATCAAAACAAGGGCACTCACTATGCGCTTGTTGTAAGCATTCATGGTCTTGGTGTACTCAGCCTTCCTCTTTTCTGCCTTGGCAATGTAGGGAGCTTTCTCCTGAATAATTTATACAATAAAGCAACCAGTCAACGAACAGTTACGGAAAATTCAAGCAATTCACAAATCGATAAACAAAATTTATTGGGAGAAATACTCACGGCCTCTGAAAGTGATTTCCATTTATCACCACCAGCTTTACCGACCTATTCAAATTTATCGAAAATCAGAATAAGTATAATTTTGTAAAATTAAATAAAAAATTATTCAGCAAAACGAAATTAAAAACACAGATCTGAGAAGATGAAATTCACTTACAGCGGCCACAGATTTGTTATTAGGATGATCCTTCTTGAATTTCACTCTGAAATCCTCCCTATATATATTTGAAAGAAAAATTCATACAAATATGATAAAATAAATAAATAAATCAAAGTAAAAAACGATCGATCTGAAGAAAGAGAGATAGGGAGAGAGAGAGAGAAACAGAGCGTTGGCCGTACATGAAAACGAAGAAGGCACTCGCAGGCCTCTTAGGCTTGTTCGGATCCTTTGCAGCCTTCTTGCTCGCGCCAGAGCTTTTGGTCTTCAACCTAACAAAATTAAAAAATAACACAAAAAATCAACATAAATTCAAAATCGACGTTTCACATCGAGATCTCCGATCAAATCGTAGATAATTCACAGAAAAACGGAAAACGAAAACGGAAGCTCACTTCGCATCGGCTTTTTTGGGAGCAGCAGCTCTTGATTTCCCCATGTTCAGCTAAACCTGCACACAAAACCGCAAAAAAACCGATAAGAGTGGTTGAGAAACGGCAAAAAATGATTAAAATCGTTTATAAATGACCAAAAACGACGGGAACCGCTCGGAAGCGGCGAAAAACGACGTGTATCGTTTGGAATCGGCGGAAAACGAAGAGACTCGGTCCGAGTCGGGGGGCGAGCTTACCTTTGTGTGAAGGGAGAGGATAAGGCGAGAGAGAGAACAATGAGAGAGATAAGCCTTTGGGTCGTTTGCTTTGGTTGGTGCGGTGTGCGAGTGTGTGTAAAATTTGCCCCTGGGGTGTGAAGGGATAGGAAGGGAAGGCCCGTGGCGCAAAAATAAAAATGAAAAAAAGGCGGAAAATTAAATTTTGATTTGTTGGAAGGATTGAAGTCCGGGTTTGGGCGGGATTTCAAAATATTTGTCCCACGTCATGCATCCGCGTCATGGGGGTCGATTGGTTGGGGTGTATTTGCTTGGATCTCGCTTGTGCTTCCTTGTGTTTCTTTGTTCTATTTCTGCTGGCGGTACACTGGAAACCGGTGGGAAAAGGGGCACACGTGGAGGATGTGTGCGTGGGTCATGGTTGGCACGTGCGGATATTATTGGCGAAATTACAAATTTGGGGTTTGGGCGCGTCTAGATGGTTGTTGGGGTTGTGGTAAAATTTGGTGCACAATACTTCTGTACTGCTTTGGGGGTATATATGTCAATTGGTTTACTAATAACAATTTTTTTCCCTTTATTTATTTTTTCCTTTTTCTTTTGTTTTTATATTATTTAAATTAAAAGGATGGAGGAGTAGGCTAAGTATCAAAATAATGTGGTTTAAATTTACTTTTTGCTACAATCGAATACAAGACCTCTTACTTACAAATAAAAAGGAGTAGGCTAAGTATCAAAATCATAATACTAAATAACTTCCTTTTTTTAATTATATCAAATTTGATATGAAAATGTATTCAATTAGAATTTTTAGGAATTTTAATAAATAACTCTTTGGAATGATTTTATGAAATATGTCAATTTTACTCTCATATGTGGCACAAACGTGATAATTTCCACAACAAACTAACGGTGTTATGGATATTCTCATATTGCAACAACTAGAAAACTAAATGATCAAATTCGATACAAAAAAAATACAGTGAACAAAATTGAAATTTCGGCTTGAATACTAAGTTTTACTTAATTTTACAAATATTTTAGATATTAGATTTAATTATCAGAAATGTTCAAATCTCTTATTTTGTATTAACAGAAAAGTTCAACTACAAGAACTAAAACTCTCTTATTTTGTATTAACAGAAAAGTTCAACCACAAGAACTAAAAACTCATGAATTTATCAGATTTTCGCAAAATTGGGCTTTATTTGATTGGAACATTGTCGAACAATTTATCCCCAACAGGTCCAATTGAATCGGGGTTACCCAATACCCAGGCCCACTGGAGTTTTAGACTTGGGTCTCTAGCAACTGACCCGGTAAAGGAAACAATCAGACATGGGAGAGGTAATAGAAACCCTACCGGAGCACCGGAGCTTGTTAGCAGCTCCGATTGTATTCATTATCGTCGTCGCTTTCCAATTCTTCTCCAGGTGGCTAGAGCAGTTAAAGAAGGTAATTTGCTCAACGATTTTTCACTTGCATTCAAACAATTTACCCGTAATTTGGTGCGAATTTAAGCTCTTAATCATTTGTTTGATGCTTTAACTGCAATTGTTGTGAAATTAAAACTATATTTTGGGTGATTTTTTGTGTTGGCAGGGAGTGAAGAGTGCTACGGCAACCCGATTGCGGGGAGAAATTAAAGACATCTTAAAGGAGGCAAGCTACTCGTCGCAGTGAGTGATTTTTATTGGTCAATCATAATTTTCCCCAATTTTTCAAAAGGAATTTTATTTTTTTGGATTGGCAGAATTGTTTTGATGCTTGCAAGTTGCAGCTACGCATTGTTTTAGCTTTACAGTAGTAGGCGATAGTTTGGATTCTTAGCAGTTGTGTGATCTTCGTTTCGTTTGAATCCAGGCCGTCGACATTTGCGCAAGCCGCGTAACTTCGGAGGATTGCATCTGCTAAGGAGAAAGAACTTGCAAATTGCACTAGTTTGCAACTCCATCCTTTCAATTATGTTTTTATTCTGATCATATATACAATTACATACCTGCATTCTTGGGGCACATGTATATATCCATATATCGTCACAGAGGGTAACTATATGCAATATGCTTGGGATCAAAGTTGTGTTTGTATAGTAACATATACACTTTACAGCTACGATGTTTTTAAGCGAAGGGTTGAATGGCTAATAAAGTTTATGCAGTTTTCAATGCCATATTATTTCCATGTATTTACAATAACCATTTTGTTTTCGACCATTAATTTATTTTATTTTCAATCATAAGAATCTTGTGTAGTTGTTATGAGTTGATTGTACGTAACAGGTACTTAGGTAAGCCTGACCCACCAGGTGAAAGATTCTAACAGTGGTACCTGCCTTCCAGATCAAGAGTTACATGGCAAGGAGATAAAACTTTCATACGACGTGTATCTGAGAATTTTGTTCATCTTAAAGGTAGGTCTCAGTGTTTTAGATTTTGAGAGTCTTTATTAGCTTATTCTGATAAAAAAGAAATTATTTCAGAACAAGGGTTCTTAATAGATATATTTGGTTGTCCATTTAGGTCTTAACATATGTTGTGCTGGTTTGCTGGTTTTGGAGGGTTCCTGTTGGGTCCATATCGCAACAACTTGTGCAACCATTTGGTAACGCGTTCTTGTTCCGAATATACTGCCCAAGTCCCCTCTTCTTTCTGTTTGGCTATTTTTAGACTGAGCATTGAGACAGTAAAATCTATAAAATGATAGAAGTTCTGATTTGTATATCTTGTTGCTGTGCAGGGAAGATGATATCATGGAGGGCTGGAGGAGTTGTAAACGAAAATGTTATGGTAAATAAAGTTGGGATTACTTTTGATTGTTAATTCTCATATCGTTTAGGTGCCATATTGTGTTCTTGTAAGCAACTAAATGATGTAAACAACACTAGGTACAATGTTACTTCCGTGTGTTGAACGCTGCTGATGTTTGCATATTACTTATCTTGGGTCCGAAAGAACAGAGATGGTCTTTGATTTGCATGCGATATAAATCATCTTAAATAAAGTTTTGAACATTGCTTCTGATTCTTTTCTTATGTGGTTCTGCAGGTAGGAATAATTCCTTGGTTGATATTATCTACCAGGGTCAGCAAGTTCATATGTCGACTTGCCAAGTTCTAGAGGTTAGATGATTTCTGTCCTGTCAAGTTTTTGTACACATGTTAACGTGGTTTTGTTTTGACTATTACTTCACGATATCTTTAGTCATGAACTTAGGATTGTTACCTGCTAATTTAATTTGTATCAGTGATGTGCATTACTGTTTTGGTCGTCTGTGTAGCTTGAGTTTATTGTTTATCTTAAAAAACTAACCTCTTGAAAAACCCATTCTTTGAAGTTATTTATTAAAATCCAGCAAAATAGTGTGATGCTTTTTGTGTTTGGTAATCAAATGCCTATGCGATCACCGTCAACCATGCCCATGATGGAATTAAGAGTGGATCCAAGAGAAAATAAAGAAATATGATACTTGGAGCTCAAGACTTCAATGCGAACTCAAACTCACAAAAGAGAAGAAAGGTATGACAAATATTATTTATTCTCTAGTACAATTGACATGAACGCTCTTAATTAATTGAGCGCTGTGCCAATTGTTCATATCGCATTGAAAGTATGACGCGGGTAATCCCATGGTAACATGCATCTCATGTACTTGAATAAAAAAGAACGAGGAAATTTATGCCTGAACATTATTCTTGGCACATCTAATACTAGTATTTTGACGACCGGAATATTCATAGATTTAGCCAAGGCAAAGAAGAAAAGGCATCCTAGCACACAAGTAGCGATGGCAAGTCCTGGCGAACGACCACTCAGTACCACATATGTGCCGGTAATGAATGCAACCACCATTGCCATTAAGGCAAACAAAGTAAAGGATAACGCGTTGTGGAAATTTTTCTGCAATTTTCCGGTCAGACTTGTGTAATTCCTGCAAAAAAGGAGCACCATGACAGAACAACTAGACATAGCCATGGCTATTGTATTTGTTATCACAAAAGCTTTGAAAGCTGCATTTCTGGATAGAACTGCGAAGCCCTGGTCTGGTCCTTTTTCGCCTTGGTAACCACCAGGCATGGTGAAACCAGCTGCGAACGTTACGGTTGCTATAAGTGTAGCCACAACCAGATGGGAGTCTCTTCCTTCCTTCACTTCGATGCCAACACCTCTGTTTTTCTCTACTTGGCTGCCACCTATGTTTTCCTCGACCTTGCTGCTGCCACCATCCTTGTCGCTTGAAATCCGATGACCTGGTATGGCACCAATCTCTTTCAATGTGCTTTGAAGATATATCTGCAACACATAGTTGTAATGTTGTATTGGTAAACAAAGGATCTTAACCACTTATATCACAAGGGGAATGATGTGCTGTCCATACTTGTTGTTCTGAATAAGGCAAAGCTTGAACGATGTTAAGAGCGTTGAGATTTTCCTTGTTGAATGTCATCTTATCAACCCTAGCATCACGTATGAACCCAGCGTTGTTGTACCAAGCGTAAGCCATAAGATGGAGGGGTGTGTTCCCATCTTCGTCTTTGCCATTCAAAAGGACGTTGCTGAGCCATGGATCTTGTCTCACAAGTTGCTCTACTTGATGATGACGCTTCCTAATGCAGAAGTGAAGAGCGTCGCGACGGCGCCTGTCCACCAGTTCGCAACAATCAGGGCAACAGGCAATAAGCTCTTTCATTACGTCTGCATGGCCTCCGAGTGCTGCAACGTGAAGAGGTGTAACCTTCTCATTGTCGCCGATGTAGGCGGCGGATTTATCAGCTGCTAGTAAGGATTTCACAATTGAAGTGTGACCCATGGATGCAGCGTAGTGTAGCGGAGTCCATCCCTTTTCGTCGATTTCTTTCGTCGATTTCTTTCGTCAAAGCCTTTTCAGTGTACTTCAACAAATCTTTCGTCATTTCTTGAAGATAAAACCACCAAAACATACAATTAGATTAAAGAAAAAGCAGTTTGTTGTTGATTCACTAAATGTTTTGCTTATAACTGAATCCGTTCATATTCTAATTATTATAAAAAGATCATATATGAAAATATTTATAAATTATGAGATTGTTGGGTCATCATGCTATATAAAAATAAATTATGAAAAATTAAAGAAAAAACAGTAAAAATATGTCTATCTCCATATTATATACGTATTGGTACCTATGCCATTGATTGTGACTGCAGCATGCAAAGTTGTTCTGCCATTAGGGCCTTTGTAAACGGGATTTTTGCAAGTCTTCATCATCTTATAAACTAAAACACAATACCCCCTCTCGACAGCCATGTAAATTGGAGTCTCGCCGTCACCATTAGCCGTGTACAGACTCTGGATCTTCCCTTGTCAATATCTCCACCACTGCAAAGTGATTAAATCGAACCGCCTCGTGCAAGGCCGTGTCCTTGCCGTTGTTGGTTGCCCTTATGAGCATCTTCCATGCTTCTTCCGATAAAACCCCTTTCTCGAGGTCGTCATGACGAGCTTTTGCAGCTCGGATTAGAGCTCCAACTATTCCAGCACGCCCATGTCTCGCGGCAATGTGTAACGCAGTCTCACCACTCTCATTCTGCTGCAACAGCAGTGCTGGACAAGTTTTAAGGATATCCTCAACGATGTTGGTTGACTCGATTACTTGTTTCTCAGATTCGTTGAACGTTGGGCTGCTTGAGCACGCTATGTAAATATGGAGCACTGTGTTTTTTGTTGCAGTGAGCTTTATGTCAAGATGCTCCCCGTGTTCCCTTAGGGCATCGACGTTGCCTTGTTTCGCAGCGTTGAAAACATCAAGATCTATGCCCTCTGTAGGTTCCTCCTTGGTCTGATCTGCTTGCTGAGTAGCCTGGCAATCGACACCCGGGGATGCTAATGGTAATGGAGCAGCACTCTCAATCTGACCAGTCGAATTGGAGGAATCCATTCTGATTTTTGCACGTATCCGAAATTACTTGCAATCTTTGAGAGAGGATGGAACATCTCCATCAACATATTCCGAAGAGCTTTATTAGTCAAATCCAGTTTCGAACGTTGACTTTTAGGTATAGCAATTTCGTCGTGGTTCCATTTCGTATATTTAAATATGATTTTTTTTTGGTGTTATATTTACAAGTTGTTAATTAATAAACATAGTTTATTGTATAAATCAAGATGGCATTTCTTAATTCACGGCCTGTTTGGTGGGTAGGATAAGATAGGTTATTTCTAATTAAATTGGACTTGGAGCCCAACTAATGTTTAATGAGAAATTTTTTAACACGGACTAAATTGGCTACAAATCCGAAATAAAAGAAAATATGATGGGTTATGTAACTCAACCACACACATGGGTTATGTAACTCATCCCTATCAATCCAATCCTATTCTAAAGCTTAATCTCATCCGGCGCACCAAGCGGCTGGCTGATGACTGTCAAGTGTGTGAAGTGAGGATCACCAACTCACTACGAAAGGTGAATAAAAGAAGTCGCTAGTGGGAGAGTACGTAAAACTATCTATACCATTTACCACCACAGCCGTGTAGAAGCATATGTAGCAGCCATATAAGAGAGGAAGAAGTAGACGAGTCTCCTTCCATGTGGTGCGGGAAAAGTCTACTTTACCCCAAACAAATAATGTAAAACAAATAAGGTCAGGATCTTTCCGAGAGGAAGACAACCTCTGAGTTCGTCGTATTTATGAACTAGGGAGTATTGAAAGAGAAATATAAGAGTGTCTGGCCGAGAACCTTTTCAGTAGGCGGTACACTAAGCATCATAATATAATTGGTTGAAATTTCTAACCAAGTATATTATTACATTTGGTGCATTGAACTGTGTTCCTGACACACTGAAAAATCTCTCTTTTCCGATATTGGGGGAATGAGTTTGATGCTTTGTATAGGCGTCAGCAATGAATTGATACAACAATAGCGTGAAAATACATCAAATTAACATTTTAAACCGTTCGATGGTCCTCCTGGTTCCTGCTCACGTGTTTTACTGCTCAAGGTTCTAGATTTTCTTGTCAAATAATAAAAATGGTCTCCTTCAAGGTTCTAGATTTCCTTCTCAAATAAAAAAGGAAAAAAAAACCAAGTTATTCACTTTTTTTTATGAGCATTGAAAAACCATTAGAGCCATAAATAAAAGCATTGAAAAATCATCAATAAAGTCTTGAACATTGCTTTTGATTCTTTTCTTATATGGTTCTGCAGGTAGGAATTATTCATTGGTTAATATTATCTACCAGGGTTAGCAAGTTCGTATGTCGACTTGCCGAATTCTAGAGGTCAGATGATTTCTGTACTGTCTAGTTTTCATACACGTTAACGTCATTTTGTTTTGACTATTACTGCACGAACTTTAGCCATGAACTTAGGATTGTTACCTGCACATTTAATTTGTATCAGTGATGTGCATTTCTCTTTTGGTCGTCTATGTAAATTGAGTTTCTTGTTATGTAAAAAAACTAACCTCTTATAAATCCCGTTCTTTGAATGTATTTATTATTTGATTTTATTTAACATAAGGAAAATCCAGCAAAATACTGTGATGCCTTTTGTTTGGTAATCAAATGCCTATGCGATCTCCGGACTACCATGCCCGTGGTGGAATTATGGTGGATCCTAGAGAAAATCAAGAAATATGATACTTGGAGCACAAGACTTCAAGGCAAACTCAAACTCCCAACAAATGAGAAGAAAGGTACGGCAAATATTATGTATTCTCTATTACAATTTACCTGAACACTCTTAATTACTTGAGCCCCACGCCATTTTCCTACAAGCTTTCCTATAATTATTAATCCTTATTCATGACTCTTCTCCTTCTTCATGAGGAAACCTACTATTGAGCTAATTATAACATTTAACGAGTAATCTGTCAGCAACTTAAAGTCGCCAACCATGTCGTCCAGGAAATGTGGAGCATTAAGTATTTTTCTTTCAATGGAAAGAAGAGAATTTGCAAAGACAGAGAAGAAAATGCAGCCAAGCACACAAGACGCAATGACAATCCCTGGAGAATGACCACCCAATACTGCATATGTGCCGGTAATGAATGCAACAACCATTGCAACCAAAGCCCAAACTAGACATGGCCATGGCTAGTGTATCAGTTAGAACAAATGCTTTGAACGCTGCGTTCTTGACAGAAGGGGGGAACCCTGGTCCGGTCCTTTTTCGCTTTGGTATCCGCCGGGCATGGTAAAACCTGCGGCGAAGGTTACAGTTGCTATCAATGTAGCCACTACCAGATGAGTTTCTTTTGCTTTCTGTAAACTTTCTCCCATGACCTTGTTTCTTTGAGTTCCTGGACTTGGTCTAACACCCGTGGCTCGAAGTATTTTTCCATACAGTTCCTGCAAAGCCAGAGAAGGACTATAATATTATTATTATCTTGGCAAACAAATTCAAGCAATTTAATGATCACAAGGTGATACGTACCTGCAATAATAATGTGTTTATATCATTGTGAACACGGAAATTTCCTGAAACGAAAGAGACAAGAACAAACGTGCACAAACAAATATTTGTATTTGATGATTTTGGGTTACAATCTCTCTCTATTTTGATCCTCTGATTCGATCTCCGTAAGGTGTGTATTTGTGGATGTGTGATTGATTCAAAGGGCCGTTGGGCTTGATCTAAGGATGAACGTTCTTCAAGGGCCATGGACTTGATCTTGAAGGTGGATTTGAGCGGATCTTCAAAGGGGCTTTTGGGCTTTTGGGCTTGATCTTTGAAGAACAGTGATGAACGGATCTCCAAGGGCTTTTGGGCTTGATCTTGAAGAACAGTGATGAACGGATCTTCAAGGGCTTTTGGGCTTGATCTTGAAGAACGGTTGGATGTGTGGATTTGTCGACGTTGTTGATCCAAAGGGCCGTTGGGGCTTGATCTTGGATGAACGGATGATGAACGATGGTGCTTTCTTTAAGGGCCGTCGGGGCTTGATCTTGAATTGGTGGAAGTTCTTCAAGGGCTTTTGGGGCTTGATCTTGAATTGGTGGATTGTTGATCCAAGGGCCGTCGGGGCTTGATCTTAGAAGAACGATGAACGAAGAACGATGAACGAAGAACGAAGAACACTTTCTTCGAGGGCCGTCGGGGCTTGATCTTGAATTGGTGGAAGTTCTTCAAGGGCTTTTGGGGCTTGATCTTGAATTGGTGGATTGTTGATCCAAGGGCCGTCGGGGCTTGATCTTAGAAGAACGAAGAACACTTTCTTCGAGGGCCGTCGGGGCTTGATCTTGAAGAATGATGATGAACGGATCTTCAAGGGCTTTTGGGCTTGATCTTGAAGATGGATGATTGTTGATCCAAGGGCCGTCGGGGTTTGATCTTGGGAGAACGATGAACGAAGAACGAAGAAGGCTTTCTTGATTCTTCGGGAACCTGGATGCTTGAGAGCTTCGGAATTTCAGAGCTTCAGAGCTTCAAGGTGTAATATGAATTGGTCCTTAAATGAATGAAGTAGCCTTCTATTTATAGAATTTTCCAAGGCCTAATTTTGAATATAATATTCCAGATGAAATAAGTCGTTTCTGCCAGGTGTTGACACGTGTCCTGTTTGATGACTTTTCCAACTTATTTCGATTTTTTGTTTAGACACACGCTACGTGTAAAATTTATGTAATACATGAGCGTTGAAACTTTGATTTATCGGTCAACATTTATTTACCGAAATTTCGATGTCTACAATCATCATCGTTAGCTAGAACTATTTCAAAAGCGTTTAAGTTTTGCTTGTTGAATGCCATCCAATCAACGTTATGACCATCTAGTAAGTCTATGCTTTTGGGAGAATGAGTAGCTAGGTGATGGAGGGGTGTGTTCCCATCAACATCCATGCCATTTAACAGGATGTTTCTAAGCCATGCATCTCCTAAAACATATTTTACTATTTGGTTTTGTTTGTTCTGTATGGCGTAGTAAAGAACATTCTGAAATTTGTTGTCGACCAGTTCGCAACAATCAGGACATTGAGAAATAAGCTCTTTCATTACATCTAGATTGCCTTCGGACGCTGCAAAGTGAAGAGCTGTCGCGCCATCTTTGTCAGCAATGTAAGCAGTAGATCTATCATTTGCAAGCAGTTGTTTAACAATTGAAACGGAACCAATACGTGCAGCAAGGTGTAGTGGAGTACATCCTAGTTCGTCTGCTGCTTTGCTCAAAGTCCTATCGGCTTTTAGCAGTTCCTCCGTCATTTCTTAAGTATAAACACAAAACACAAACAAATATACATAAAATTAAAAACATATATACGTACCTTTTTTTAGTGTATAATCTATTTACTTTTGTATAAAATATACACATTTTA